GGGGGTGTAACGGGAGGTTATAGATGTGGTGGAGGAGGAGGAGAAAGGCAAGTAGGTTTTCAGTAGATATCAGGCAAGTCTTGGTAGTTCCTGTTGAAGTATCCACCAGTGTAGATCCAATCCTGGGAACCTGTGTATGGATTGGTGCCCATCTGGAACCACCTAAAAAAATCAACACAGGTTACATTTCTGTAGGGATTTACTATGGCTTTGGTCTTAAGTGTGTTACCAGTTTCTAGATATAACTTTTACAATTAACCTCCAAGAAGTCTGTATTATTTTCCACCTGCATTTCCCTGTCAATCTGTAATCTTAACAGCTGTCCTTCCTTTCTGCATCTTCAGCCTGCAGCTCTTTTAATCCATTATTCAGTTCAAAACGTTCTTCACAAACCTCAGTTTTCATACGGTATAAACAAATAAATCTCATCAATGATTAGTGAGCTTTAAATATACAGACTTCGCTTCACTGAATCCGTTTCCAGCCTTTGTAATAAAGTAAGCGGATGTTGGTAGCTTCAATTTTATTAAACAGAATGAGAGTGGAACACAAAATGTCCATTATGTAAATAATATTTTCTTAACACTTGCAGTAAGCTACATTCCATGTTGTGGCCATGGGTGAGGGTAGGAATGTAGATTAACCATTATGGTAACAGATTCTCCTTTAGGGCTCAGCTCTACTCTTAACAACTAACCAGAACAGTTTCTGCACCACTGCAATCCCCCTGCTATTCTCATGTACACTGGACATCTAACAGCATCATGAAAACTTCATTACTTTTGGTATATTTTGAAGCTGTTGTAAAGGTTACCACAGAAAAATGTATTAAAGTGAATGCATGTGTTAGTGTGCGTTTCTCACCTAGTAGACCACTCCTCATCTCTCTTGGCTCTCTCTTTTCTGGCAGCTCTCTGTTTCTCCTCCAGTCTTTCCTTTTCTTTACTGGCCTCATCTTCACAAGAACAAAGAGTCGAAAGGTTTCAGATTGTAATAAAACAAGAAAAAGTCTTGTGCTTATTTACCCCTTTAATTTCATTTGTTTCCATTTTTCTTTAGGCACCTGTGGAACTCACTCACTTTGGATTGGCACAATACCATCAACATCCAGCAGGTGGAAGCACTGACTTATTGCCAATCCTTTGCTTTAAGCAGCAGAAGTAAAACATTTGTAGTTTCTTTTCTTTATTGGTTCCGTTTTGTTTTTTGTTGTTGTTGTGTTTTGTTTTACTTTCACAGAGTGATCATTCTAAAAGTCGTCTTAAACATCCACATAGTCATAGCATACTGGTTTTCTTTTTAAACAACAGTTCTGTCAAACAAGTTATTGAATGTCAGCCAGCGACGCATTCAAATTTGATCAGATAAAAACTAATTACCCATGTTGCTGTTCTCCATTGCTCTGATGTCAGGCCTGAAGCGACAGTCTGTGTGGGGCAGGATGGCCTCCATGCCGGGCTCCAGCTCATTCAGACACATCGCAAAGTTTGTGAAGTTGTACATCTGGGAAACAGAGAAAGAATAAAAGATGTCAAGAATGAGTGTGTTTGCGTGTGTGCGTTCTGGGCCACCAATTTGGATGTGTAACTTTATTTTTGATACCACAGAAGAGTGTGCTGGTCTAGAGTCTATCCTCCATAACAGAGTGCTTCCTGGTACAACAGACACAGTCTCTTGGACTTCGGGCATGTCATCTGCGTCATCGTTCTCAGCGCCCTCAAGTTCATCCTGTGAATGATACAACTCACTGTAACTACTGGACCAATTGATAGCATCAGCAGAGACTGAACGCTGCAGGCACAAACAGTTACCAGCGAGATCAAAGCTTCTGTCAGTATCTGTTTATTTCCAAACCTGCAGTTTGGAGCATTTGCACACAACTACAAATAAATAAGCAGACTAAAAGGGGAAGAGCTGAAAAACCTCTGCACTGATCTACACAAGCTTGTTAGTTTACCTAGATACGACCACACAGATTGCTGTGGACAATAACAGGAAATCAAGACAGAAGAAGAAAAGGAAATATGACTTAGATGAACTTATTTATTTTTTAAAAGAAAGAAAGAAAGCCCACAGACTGGCACTACACTGTTGTTTTTTTTATGATTTCTTATTGCAGATGTAAAATATTAGTTGCACAGGTTCTTACATTTTTCTGCTTTTTGTTGTCTCCTTTCTTCTCAGACTTCTTGTGTGCTTCATAGGCCTGAGGGTCGACACTCCACATGCATTCAGTCCATTTCCCATAGATGACAGCAAGCTTCTTTTTACTGGATAGAAACGGAAGATGAAAACGACAGTAAGAAGATGTGGCAGGAAAAGGAGCAAAAGGGCAAGACACAAAAAGTTGGAGATGCAAGTGGAGAGAAGAAATTGTTAGAAAAGACAAAAAAATAAAAAAATAAAAAAAAAAGGAATGTAAAAAAGAAAATGGTCAATAATAGGAGAAGAAAAGTACAATGGAAAATGAGATTGAAAATAATGAAAATGCATTAGCATGTCTTTTTAAACGCTTGAAGACAGAAAGATTCACACTGTAGGTGACAAACCAGTTAGAGTAAACACAAACCTCTTGTCTTGGATGTATCCCTCCACTTTGTGTAGCTCTTTGCCAAACATCCCACAGGGCTTGAAATTCAACACACATTTGTCTCCAGTGCTGCAGGAAAAATGAGACAAGAGCCAATTAACATCTCTTCACTGGCAGAGCTCATTATAGTGAATTAAACAGACAAAGCAACATTATTTGACATTATAAAGTGGTGGATTTATCATGCAATTATACGTTCATATAAATCACTTTGCATGGCTATTTGTATAAAAGAGGTTCACGTTCAAACCCTGCTGTTTTGACAACAGTTAGTCAGTGCAAGTAAGGTCTGGCTGATTCACAATTACTAGCATGAATCTGTGCAACTGTGTGAATAAGACACAGCACGCTTAGCAATAAGGACAATAAAAGCTTTGCACTGCTTTCCTAGAAAAATAAATGTTGAAGGAGACGTTGTTTGCCTGTGAAGCCACACAGACCATAAGCAGGCTGGTGTCTAGTATTAGACGAAACAAGGAAGGTGCACGGCAGGAATGGAGAACTGTGGGTAAACATTTGTTAGCCTTACAGTGTTTCATCTGAACTTGACTGCAGTCATTTCCTCACTCTAGTTATAGGGAAGCATTGTGATCAATACAGGTTAAACACTTCTTAGTATCTAGTTCTATCATGCAAGCATCATTTAAATACCTGTGGTTGACTATTTCTACTGTGCCATACTGTTCTATCCACAGTTTTCCCAGTATGACATTGTGTACACAGCAGTTAGGGTTGCTCCATGTGTATGCCTCCCTGTGCCTGGATGAAAATTGCAGGGGGGAGAAAAAAGGAAGAAAAAGGGGAAATAAGAATGAAGGAGGAAGTTTTAGGAGGGAAAGGTGAAAAAAAAAAACAAAACAATGAGAAATCAGTTTTAGAATACAATTAATGAATAAATAATTTAAACGCAAAGATTTTAAGTGACCAACTTGAGTAGCTCTAGTGTGATAGTCCCTTTAGGCTCTGCCTCAACGCTCTTGCCCCAGAATTTAAGTTTAGGGTAGATGGAGCCGTGGAACACGAAATCCCCAGCCAGGCTCTCTGCATGAAATGCACTCACTGGAGGATGATGGGATACCTGCTCAGACACTATTCGGAAATCCTGGTCCTCTCTGCAAGAAGCAGGGGTGAAAAGAGAGACTGAAAGCCAACTGGTAAAACAAAGTGACCTCACAAAAAACGAGAGAAAAAAAAGCAAGTGTACCTGATAAGTTCATAGGTCTCTCCCAGCAAAGGATTAAAGGGCTTTCCAGTTCTGTCCCACTGCGACGCAACTGCTGACACAGCAAAAGCAGCTACTGCCTAAACAGAAACAATTACAGACCAAGTTAGCATGCGCGTATGTGTCCAAGTCATCTCTTGAGTATGTCTGTTAGTGTTTTGTTTTTTCCTTCTCCCCAGACTATGTCCAGATTATTTGCATTTCATTTATGATATTCGATTAGATAATTTTTTTGGTGGCTCTACTACAACCATTCAAAGCAATGGACAAGAGAGGTAAAGACAATGTCATTGTGGGGAGCTAGGGTGGAGTGGGTGGAGAAGAGTGTCAGGGGTGACAGCAGAGAAACATGGTAGATGACACAGGACGTGTGTGTCCACCTCTCTCCCTACCCGCATGCGCTCTATGGAGTCGGACATTGAGGAGGTTCTGTTGATGAGGTAAGTGTGTTCCATATATTCCGTGATTCTCTGCAGGAAGCTCAGCGGCTCGTTGAAGGCAATGGGCATCGTGATCTTGGACAGTTCCTGTTTAACATTAAGATAAAAGCTGAATATACTCTATTATATCACAAAAACTGTAATTGTGTCAGCAGCCAAAGCACTAAACACTAGTTAAACCACAGGTTAACTAGAATAACTCCTAAAATACAACATGACTAAACACAGTAGTGCATATAAAGGGGGAAAAATGGAAAGAAATTACAGTAAACTATAATGGGGAAAAAAGCTACCTAACATATTACCCTTTATACTATTGAACTCTAAAACGTTTTTCAAATTGTGGTTTTAGCAAGTAATTTTATGTAATACATTTTTCTTGTTTCAGTTTATCTGTGTGCAAATTAAAAACTGTAAATACTGCCCAATATGACTATGAAAACCTCTCTATGAAAGCCTTTCACGTACAGAAGAGAAGCTCTTAAATCTGATAACCAGCTTTCCCTTACCAGTCCAATACATTTTTTCAGGATACTCCACACACTGATATTGTTTCTGGAAAACATGGGTGCAGGGAGAGATGTCCTGAAATGGAGAAGAAAAGAAATATCCAAGGTTGCAGATAAGAGATAGTGCGTTCAGGTTTGTTATCAGGGCAGAAGATAAAGAAATTCTGCACGAAGATAAGAACAAGTGCAAAGCCAATTCATCTCACCTCTGTTCACAGGAACTAAACCCAGTCACCTAACTATCCTAAAATTCCTACTTGGTAATTTTCCACTGACATCTTAAAATTTATAAAAGGAAATTAACTCAAGTAAACACACCACACCTTCACATATAGGTCACCCAAGTCAGCCCCCCACTGTGAACAACAACAAAACTCCCCCCTTTAAGCTTAAAAATACGTCACCTTTAAACTGCTGCACCCAAAAAATTGCAGCATTGTGTGCCTTTCTGTGTATGCGTTTTGTATGAAACTGAGCCATTACAAATTGTGACCCTGCCCAAAAATGTTCCACTTAACTCAATTGTTTTTGACCAAGAGAGTACTTATCCACAAACAAGTACACACACAGCAGATGGAATGTGGGTGAGGAATGCAGGAGTACCTGTGTTTCTTGATGCCATTTTCTTGTGGGACTGATCCATTGTTCTTCTGGCTGCTGCTGTCAATCCCTTGTGCATCTTTGAAACTGGCCTCCGACAGCCCCTCGCACGACTCGTCCGATTCCAGGCCTGCGGAAGAAAAAGAAATGTGGCATTCAAAGAAAACCGACGTCACAGATATCCGCACCATGTCATCTTCTTTACACTTGTTGTAAACTAAGAAACCTGGGACAACAACAGTAAACTTGTTTATGAGGTAATAACAATCTACGTCTCAATTCAAACCTTTCACATAAGGAAGCCTGGCCACGACAACATAGGGCCACATTTAACACAAATACCTTTCGGCATCATTGCTCAACATGGAGGAGAGCATATTATAAGGAGTCATATTCGCCATCATAATCTCAAAAAAAGGACAGATTGTGAATATCTTGCATCTCGTCAGTGGATTTAACAAAAAGGCAGATGTTCATGGCGTGGGAATGAGAATGGGCTGGAATAATCTGCAACGTAGTACTGTAGGATGGAGTTGTGGGCAATTAAAGGTGGTGCATTAACAAAAGCTTAAAAACACTAATGACTATCATTACTCAGAAAACACGCCTAATCAGGTGTCAGGTACAAAGGTGCATTGTTCGTATCGTCACATAAGTCACAACAAAATATTTTATTTTAGTACTGAGACACCCTGCGACAGACTGGCGACCTGTCCAGGGTGTACCCCGCCTCTCGCCCTATGACAGCTGGGATAGGCTCCAGCGCCCCCCGCGACCCTGAAAAGGATAAGCGGAAGCGAATGGATGGATACTGAGACGTCGCAAGTTCCACTTCCTGAGAAACAAAATGTATTGCACAGTATGAAACTGACTCATTAAATGCAGGATGTGCAACACAAAATTATTTGTCACACATTAGTGTTGACCCATAGCCAGGGTTGTGGAACTTTAAATATTTGATAATCTCTTTTCATGTATTATATAAGCTGCACTTCAACAATGTCTTTCAAGCTTCTGTAGGTGTTATGAAGGTGTGCCCCGGGCAAATCATCAAGCACATTAGTAATATTTTTAAAATAAATAGTTACAACAAAATATTTGAGGGTAAATTAAGAAGAGAAAAAGATGCTAAAGCCAAGCCAGATGATACCTGATGCTACCACATAAATAATAGATCACCCCTGTTCTGCATCTGTCTCAAATTACTAAGATGATCATAACAATGGCACAAAGACAGGTGCAGGCACACACACACAGCCCTTTTATTTATACCTGAATGGAAATGACTTGCTAAAGTGACGACAGCCATATAGCAATGGCTCTACGTCAACATGGGGTAATCAAACAACAAAACAGTGATTCTAATATTTATTAACAGAGAACACCACCCTGCCTGCCCTCTTATTATCCTTGCACAGAACGAGCTGTTAAATAAGTGGCTGCACTGCTAATTTATCTATAACAATAAAGTGTTTGCATGCCTTTATTTCTCAGAGTTAATATTATAATCATATTTCAGCATTCAATGCTGAACCTACACATGCTGACTTCATTAATCCTGAGATTTTATATTGTTTTGATGTCTTCTAAACTTGAGGTAGATCTGCCTAGAGTAAACAGTTCAAAGATCATCTCTCCTGAGTTTCCAGGTATCTGCTTCCAAGAATGCTTGCTCACAAACCCCAGGCGAGTCACCATGGCTGTACTTTGTAATTGTAAATGGGTACTGCTTGATATCAGACCTTCACCTGGACTGTAACATTAGGCTGCACGAAATCCTGAGAGTGCTGACTTCAAGGACTATTAACTGCTGCTCACCAAAAAAAGAAATGTGAAAATACTTTTAAAAAGAGTGAAGTCTAGCTGGCTTCCTCAAATATGCTGATTTGGGGTAGTCACTACTATCCAACTGACACAAACTTTGGCAGTTTCTACCAGATGAAATTTCTTTGTGAATATAATACAGGCACACAAGTATGAACCACACACCCTCCAGGTTGTTGTTGATATCACTAATCATAGTCGTAAGACAGCCAACCTCTGAATTATTCAACTAATCATCAGACGAAGGCAGGTTAAGTTCCACTGGACAGCATTGTGCTTTGACAACAAAAACAGACCATCTAATTAGGAGTGGCAGCCTCTTGCAGAAAAACCATGTAGCAATTTCCAGAGAAAGACTAAGACCTAAGAAAAATAACGATTACATATATACATCAGGTCTAATAAATACCAAAACACTAAACAAAATATTTCTCTTCCTCTAAAAACCCTTTTTAAGTTTTTAAACTACCAAAGGAGAAGTGAGAACTACAAAATCACAATACAGTCCTGAAATACAGGAAGCATGCATGTTTCCCCTTTCTTAATAAAAGATAAACTAGAGGGAAACACATCAATAAGTATGTACATTAAGCACCCACCTGTGACGGCATCGAAGAACTCATCGTCATTGCTCATCTTCTAGAGTCAAAGCTGACCAGTTGTTTAGGACAGATGTTGAACTTCTAGCACATGTTCCTTTTGGTGGCTGCTCTGAAAAGTTACTCTGGAGGGAGACCTGTCAATCTAGGTCTCGCTTGAGTGTCACCACAACAACAGAGCAATGTTTGTCTGATATCGAGACAATGTCCCAAATACAGCTTCACACAGATTTTCAGCAGATGGTCTGTCCTCAGAGGAATGACACCAGCAGATGTCAATTTGAGCAAATCAGCTGCTTAGTTAGCAGACAAACAACGGATGCACTTCCAGTCTTCAATTTATGTGGCTCTTTTGACCAAGGCAAATGAATAATCTGTAGAAAGAAAAAAAGAAGAAACAAATATATTACTAACAATCAATATAAAAAGGTTATAACTAGTGTTTACTTGCCATGTTTGTTCCCTCCACTTTTTTTAAGTCAAAAGTGGAAAAATAAAGTCAACACATTAAAGTTCAAACCTCCAAAAATGTGTTATTTTGTGTTTGTTTTTTCTTAAAATGGGTATAATCCTTTATTCTCATTTAATTAATTGTAAATGCCTTTATACAACAACCAACTTGCACAAAACCCCCCAAAACAAAGTCGAAAATTTTTTGAAACCAAATTACTTGCACAAATTTTATACAAATTTTATGTATAAAGGCCTTAAGGGTGTAAACATACTGCTGGGATCATAATGTTCTTAGGTTGCAATAATCCTGCAATTTAAGGTAATTTATAACTGAAATTGCCGTAGCCTCCACTCCCTCCAAGGGATTTCTACTTTCTTTGGAGTTGAAACAATTTGGGAGAATATAAACCATCATATGCTTTGTCTTCAAACACATTCACACAAGCCCTAGAGCAACAATTCAATGGCAAATCAGAGACCTTTGTGAGCTACAGAAAGCTGCACACAATGTCATTGCATCCTTCATGCTCTGAGTACTAATGTACTAAGAATAATCAAAATTTTAACACATTTTCTTCCATTTCTGGAATGATAACCTTCAAAAATAAAAACAACATGCAGAGAAGATTGCATTAAGTGGACTATCTTGATGCTCTTTACAGTAGATCTAACCATCTGTTCCATCCGCTCAAAGTCTGCTTGTTCTGTCACAGTCACAATTTTGTCTATCATGGCTTGTTGCGTGAAAACAGAGATGTTTCTAGTTCAGTAGTTACGCAATTGGGACACCACTGTCACAGGCATTCTGAGTCTTTGTTACCCTCTGCTTGGTACATTAGCTTCACCCAGTTTAAAAGCAAGACCCAGAATAACTTGTAACTCCCCAGGTCAAAATTACCAGCCCAGAGTTTTGAGAGTTTCAAAACACATTTTAACATGGACTTCAACTTTCAAGGAAGTAAAAGGAGTTGTTTAATTAGTAACTTAACCTTCAAGAAATACAATTCGTAATAAACTGAAACTCCAGTTTATTCATCACACAGAACAAAAAAGTAATGCCAACGGGTCAATGAGTTTGTCAATTAATTAGCAAAAACCCGAGCTGCACTTAAAAAGGAATTTGTTCACTGTGCCGACCATATTTAAAAACTATTTAAGATGTAAAAACCTCACACAATATGTAAAAAGATTTTTGTTACCATTACACAGAATATTTTCATCTGGACACTTAAAAAAATAAATAAAAAAATAAAAATCAGCTTAGTTTTACAACCACTACTACCATGTGCCTGTTCTTACCATTATTATAAGATAGCATACATCATTTTATTATGACATACCCCACATGTCAAATGCTGACTGACACACACACACACACACACAGCTCAGGAATAGGTATCACCAATGGCTCTAAACATTAGAACTAGAATACCAGACAGCTATATGAAAATTAAATTGGCCCCTTTGATTTATAAGGATGATAGAAGAATGAGGCCATATGTGAAACGCATGTGTGTTAACAACAATATGACAGATGTAATCTAGATGGCACCCTCCATTAGCAGGGTTACACATATATGCAATATTTACTTACAACTATTACTAAAATTATATGCAATCTTAATATTTAAATAATATATATAAATAATTTCCCCCAGGGATTAATAAAGTATTCTGATTCTGATTCTGAATATTTACACACCCAAAGCTAGCCAAATACTAATAAATACCAATAAATACACCTAAAGAGTAAAACTAAACTCTATTATTATAGCCACTACTTGCTTATTGGGAATGTTGCACAATTAATATAGAATAGAATTCAACTTTATTGTCATTGCACATGTCACAAGTACAAGGCAACGAAATGCTCACATAATATTAATATTGTATGAGCAAGACACACATCCTGAGGGAAGGGGAACAGGCAAAGGTGAATTTGTGTAAGACATACACATCTCATTCCACTGTATTCTGTGCGTTTTTTGTTTTTATTTTTATTTAATCCATTTTCCAATAAATTACACTGACACTTTTATCTACTACTGCCACAGAAAAATAACTTTTGTAGATGCCTATTGTAGGACAAACAGTCCCATGCTAGAAGAAATTTTTGACTAATGAAGGCATGGCCCCATCCATCTAATGCAGGGGTCCCCAACTCCAGGCCTCGAGGGCCGGTGTCCTGCAGGTTTTAGATGGGTCCTTGATCCAACACAGCTGATTCAAATTGCTAAATGACCTCCTCAACATATCTTGAAGTTCTCCAGAGGCCTGGTAATGAGCTAATCATTTGATTCAGGTGTGTAGACCCAGGGTGAGATCTAAAACCTGCAGGACACCGGCCCTCGAGGCCTGGAGTTGGGGACCCCTAATCTAATGGAAAACTCATTCTTATGGTCATAACTCCACTGATCAAGTGTTCCACCATTTAACAGCTTTTAAAATTAGCAAAGTGCCACTTGTATTTACAATTTTCTGATTTATTTTAACAGCAGTATTTCCATCAGGAGTCAAACCAAATTACCAAATGTTATCCACTGTGTTTACAGCAGCCTTTGTGAAGCATAATAATAAAATTGTTTCAGATGAACCTATTTTGGGATATGCAAAAAAAAGTTGATACCTACAGGTTACACTTAAGAAGAAAAAAAAAAGCATCTCTAAACACAAAAAAATGAATATTAATTACATTAATATAATTATATATTAAACAGTAAACCTAAATTCCCTTCTACCCACTTGCTGCTTATTGGGATCCTCCTGCAAGTAATATTAACATGAGAGCACAGATTAATGTCTAAATAATACAGTAATGCAGTGTGACAGACCTGATCTCCAGAATTATAAAATCTTTACATACCTGAAGCGTAAAGAAAATCCTAAAAGAAATATCCAGTCTCATACAGCTGACTGATTTAGAAGATAAAAATACCAAATTCAGTCGTGTTCCCACTCTCCTGGCCTATTTCTACACAGTGGATGGGTTTTGCCTTTGCCAGAGAAAGGAAACGCCTTCAGCACACACATGAACTTTGGCCTCTGCGTCCACAATTGATAAGGTGGACAGAATGGATGATAAACTATTATTCAAATATTCCACCAGTTAACTCAGTGTCCAACTCAGCATTTTTCTAACTTGTGAAAGGCTGGCTTAAATAAGATCTAGATTTTTTTAAATTAATAAATAAAAATCTCTCTCATTTTCCTATATTCAGTATTAGAAAAGATTTATGCCAACATTTTTTAAAAACAACAAACAAACAAAGAAAAAGAAATTCCACTATAAAAGGGAGTTTACTGTATCAGCTGATCATATCAGTCAGGAGATCTACAGGACAAACGTGATATTTCCTGTGGCCTCGCAAATCACATAAACTAGGGAACTCCCAAACCTTTAAATGGTTCTGCAGGACATTTTGGAATCCCAACCGGAGGAAATCTGACTAATGCACTTGTCTACCAGGGTTTGTGTCGAAAATATGATGGAAGAAAACACCACCTTCTCTAACTCACTTCTTAAAGATTGAGTCGTGGTATGATAATCCTTATTCATATTTCAGTGCATTCATAGTCAGTGGTCTGTGGAAGCTATGTGAACATAATGTTACAGCAGATTCTGAACAAAGCTGTCAGTTAAAAGGCATGTCGCACATTGTCTTCACATCACCAAATGAATACCCCCCAAATACCTGACCACTGAACCTTACATATAGCTATAGTATACAGCAACAGAATGACAGACAAAACACGTTTTCCCAACCTTAACATCGATGCACAAAGCAAATATGACTGAAAATAAAATTTGCGTATGACATTAAATGTTTTATACAATAGACAGGCCACTTCACAGTTTGTAATTCAACAGTGCTACAATCTCTGTCACCAGAATCAATATCCTTCAGTGAAGCTTTCTAAAATAAGGCAATATCAGAAATGGATATCCATCACATTTTCCTAGCTCCACTAAGGCACACAGAGAAAACAGGAAGATGACAAGTGTGTGCTTTAGTGATGGAAACTATCATCAATAATAGAACTGCATTATTGACTTGATGAAATAAGCTGACCTAGTTCTCACTCAGAAAAGTCAAGACAACACTGACTCGAACTCTAAGCTCATTTCTCAAACTGCTCTTTGTTCACAACCCATTAAAAAGCAGACCCATTTTATAAGGTTGGTTAAACCTATTCAGATCATAAGAAAATTTATTTTGATAGAGATGCAGAACTTGAGACAAAGTATGACTACTGCACTCAGGCTGTAGCTGGTCTTTGTAAGATGTCCAACTAACACTACTTCTTAAAGCTGTTCTGAAGCACAGTTTCAGAGGCACATGACGACCTGAATAATTAGGTTTGTGTATTTGAAAAGTAGTAAACTGAGTGCAATACTTGGAAATTAAAGACTGTCTAATCTATTAATTCTATGTGCTCTAATGTATTCCATTAACAACACTGTTAATTTAGTATTCTTTTATATTTTGTAGAACAAATATTTCCCCAGGATTCCTTCTCAGCATCAGCAACAATAGATGAAAGTAAAAATAAATTCTTCATAATCACTGACAAGCCACCGTTTTTATCTGCACACACTAAAACTTGAATTTCAGTTTAAATCCATGTTTAGAAGTTTTGTTTTGCTTTTTGATAGTCTTGCATTTTTAAAAGAACTTACTTTTCATTCCAGAATTGTGCAGATAAATTAAACAGATTCTAACACACACCCACAGACAGCGAGAGAAAAAGAGAGGTATCCGATTGGCTGCAGCAAGCTCTCAGATCATATCACTCGCTGTCTCACACGCCTTGTGAGCCATTACGTAACCATGACAGACATGGCACCATATGAGCACCACAACCACTCTCCTCCGTACTTTGATAATAGCTCACCAAATGTAGCCACAAAAAAGGTCAGCAG